TGACTGCCTCTGCGTCTGCAGGAGGGAGGACAGCAGTCCAATGTCCCTGTCACACAAAGCTTCCCTATATGGGATCTGCTGGGCTCACAGGGACTGGTAAGGGCCCCTGTGTCACAGCAAGGACCTCTGCTGCTCTCTGTCCTGTAACCAGGGTGTAAAGCGAAACAATCTGATCCCATTGCTTCCTGGAGCGATGGCTTCCCCTGTCCCCTCCAGGCTCACCTGTGAGGCTTCTTCCCTCACAGCCACCTGCAGCTTTGCTCCCACCTTTCCTCAGCTGGCCAGGGGGGACCCCAGAGCAGGTGAGGTTCACAGTTGGGTGATTTGGGGTTCTTACTCTGGAAAGAAGCACCGCTCTGGTGACAAATGACTTTCTACAGCTCGCGGGGAAAGAGGATTTGTTTTAGAAACCGCAGAGCCCACCACGTCTGAGCACGTTTACGGGAACCCTGAGCACGGCTGTGTGGGACACGTCCCCGCCTTGTTCTAAGGATAGGAAACTAGAGTTCAGAGAACGCTTTTTTGCCGTACTGGTTTTTTCTGATTACAGCAGTAGTCACGTGCCAAGGGAAGAACACTCTTCACCTTTAAACTGCGTTTTGCTATTTACACATCAGCACTTAAAATCCAGTCTCCTAGAGGATTCACTTCAGTTAATTTGGTTGATTCTAATTATTTTTTCTAACATGTGCTTTTCAGCATTTTTATTCTTTATCTTTTTATCTAGCTAAATACTCAAACATTTCTGTTATTATTCTCTGCCCTTTTTCCCCCCCAGGAATGATCAATATTGATCTTCACTTATGGATGCGAGTCTGCATACGAGATGATTAATCTGAAGACCTCACTCTGGAAAAACAGCCAGTGAGTTCTCGAAGATACAAGAATGCAGTTCATTATTTTAAAAGTTATTATCTTTCTAGATGTAATAGGTCCGCAGAAAAATCTGTAGAATGTACATGGAACAGCTTACTGACTGGTAAATGAGCATCTGCATACTTGCCACCAAATCAAGAAACAGCATATTGGACCCAAGTTCACAGCACAGCCTCCCTCCCGACAAAGGTTCCGCTGACTCCGTTCAAAACCCCTTCCTCGTGTTTATACTCCATCACGGAGGCACGCACCCCGCGACCTGCCTACGCTCTGAGCGTTATCTGAATGGAACCACAGGGCGTGACCACTGCATGTCGCCTCTTTTCGTCTGACTTGATGTCTGGTCTTGGACGTGTCTCTAGTCCCCTCACTTTCACTGCTGGGCACTAGGCGTTGTTTGCACATGCCGCCGTTCGTCCGTTTGACCGACGGTGAGCTTTGGTGGTTGCTAGTTTGGGGATGTCGTGAATAAAGCTGTTGTGGGCCTGCTTAGGCGCATGCACAGGTGTGTGCACAGGTGCACTGGGGCGTGCATCTGTGGGATCCTGATATATACGTTCAGCTTTTTGTGCCCTTTTTAAAATTAACATGATTTACAGAAATGCAATAACAATCACTGAATTTAAGTGTACAATTTAATGAGTTTAGACTGCCATATGTACTGGTGTTAAGTCGCCGCCACAGCCGTGACAGGACAATTCCAGTCTCCCCAAAACTTCCCCTCCTCCAACCCAGGTTTTACAAAACTGCCCGTCTGCTTTCTGTCGCTATAGTTTTCATATAAAATTTCATACGCCTGGAATCAGAAAGTATGTAGTCTTTATGTCTGGCTGCTTTCCCCTGGTGTAATGCTTAGGTTTTATTCATTCGTTTCTCCTGCTCAGTGGAATGCCACCAAAATGTGTTTATCTGTTCACAAAATGGAAGTATTCGGTTCTTTCCATTTGGACTTAATGTGAATAAAGCTATTCGTATTCAGGTACAAATCTTTTGTGAATGTATGTTTTAATTTATATACTTAGAAGTGGAATCGCTAGGTTATATCAAAGTGTATATTTAACTTTATAAGAAACTGGCAAAGTGTTGTCCAGGTGGCTGAGCCCACAGCCGCATTGGAAAGTTCCAGGCGCTCTGCAGCCCGCCAACCCTGGCAGTGTCAGCCGTTTCTCGCCAGCGCCGGCCGGCCTGTGGGTTCGCAGTGGTGCCCATGGTTTTAATTTGCACTGCCCTGGTACCGCATGATGTTGAGACCTTCACGTATCTTTTTCAGTAAAATATCTTTCCAGGATTCTTGCTGGTTTTTAAAAATTGGTTTGTCTTCACGTAGAGTAGCAAGAGTTCTTTATATATTCTAGATACAAGATCTTTTTCAGATAAATGTCTTGCAGATATTTTCTCAGCCTTTGACTTGCTTTTCCATTTTCTCATCGGTATTTTTTAAAAGGCAACCTCTTCAGTCTCGATGGGGTCCAGCACATCACTTTTTTCTTTTACAACGTTGGTGTTACGTGTAGGAAATATTTGCCTAAACCGAGGTCACAAATATTCTATGTCTTTCAGAAGTTTTGTAGTTTTCGCTCTTACACATACGTCTGTGACCCGCTTTGGATTAATTTTCATGCATGATGTGAAATAAGGGTCAAGGTTTTTGTTTTTGCGGACGACGTCCAGTTGTTTCGGCACCAGTTGCCAGAAGTACGCACCTTGAGCATTAAACTACCTGGGCACTTTTACTGAGGATCAGTTATCTGAAAGGGTGGGGGTCTATTTCCACACTCCCGATTCCGTCCCCCTGAGCTGTGTGATGCCCCTGTGCCAGAGCCACACTGTTCTGATTCTTGCAGCTCAAGTAAAAGGTAGTGCAAATCCTCCAGCGTTTTTTCTTGCAACATTGTTTTGGCTGTTCTAGTTCCTTTGCATTTCCATATAAATTTTAGAATCGGCTTGTCAGTTTCTATGGAAAAAGGTCTATTGTGATTTCGTATTGAATCTCTAGGCTCATTCGGGCATAGCCGATACAATAACAGTATTGGACCTCTGACGCATGGACATTGTTTATCTCCACGTTGAGTGTGAAATCAATGTCTTCATTGATTTCTCTCAATATGTCAGTTTTCAGTGTATGGTTTTCAGTGTATAATCTTGCACACATACTTTCAAGTTTATAAGCGTTTCATACATTTAATGCTTTTGTACATGTTTCTTTAATATATTATTGTCTAGTTGTTTGTTACTAGTATATGAAAGTACAACTGTTTTCTTGAATTGCCTTTTTGTCCTACTGCCATGCTAAATCCGCTTATTAGTTCTAGCGACTTTCTCTGTAGATTTCTTGAGATTTTCCACATAGGCAGTCACGTCACAGGTAAGTGGAAGCAGTTTTACTGCCTCCTTTCTCATCCACACACCTTTCACTTCTTTCTCTGGTTTCTGGCTTCAGCGAGGCCCTCACGTGCAGCAGTGAGCAGACGCAGTGAGGGCAAACAGCCTGGTTCTGTCCCTGATCTCAGCGCGAAGTCATTTCATCCTTCATCCTCAAGTATGATGTAAGCTCTAGGGTTTTATAGATAACTTTTATCAGATCAAAAAATATTTCTGGCTTCAGAGAGTTTTTATCATGAATAGGTAAGTTTTGTCACATTGTCGTATCTGCTAAGATTATTGTATGGGTTGTCTTTTTAGTCTGAGAACATGGTGAATTACAATCATTGAGTTTCTGCGTTAAACCAACCTTGCATTCCTGAGGCCAATCCCACTTCATCATTGTCAGGCAGGTGGCTTCCGGTGCCAGGACGAGGAGTGAGGTGCCTTGCCTGCAGGGCACACAGCACAGTCGGCAATGGAGGGCCTTACCACAGAGAAGAGACCGCTAGCTTCAGCGTGCCTGTCGTCCCCCCTCCATGGCCAGCAGGTCTCCAGCAGCTGATTCGTGGCTGCGGGCCTGTAAGCACCCCTCTTGTGCTGCAGGGGGAGGACCGTGTCCCCTCTCCACGCAGGACAGACGTGGAATGGGGTCGGCCGGGTGCTGTGTGCAGCACACGCCTGAGCAGAAAGGGCAGCACACACTGGGTCTGGAGGAGGGAAGGACGGTCCGTGCACGGCGACAGCTCCGCGCAGGCTGCGAGGACTCTGCCTCTCAGGGAGGAGCTGCTCCGGCCCCAGGCCCATCCTGATGCGGCTGAGCGGCAGGCGGGAGGGCCACACGCCGGCGGCCACCGTGTGTCGTCGCGTGTGTTCAGGGACGTGCTTCGCTGGCATTTGCTGAGGGTTTCCGTGTCTTCGTTCACGGGGGTGTTCGCAGTTTTCTGCCGCTGCTGCTGTCTCGCCGCGGTGTCCGGCTGATGCTGACTGTATAGAGTGAGCTGGGAAGGGCTCCCTTATTTTCTGATTTCTGGAAGAGTGGGTAGAAATGGTGTTATTTCTTACGTGTTTCATAGAATTCACTTGTGAAGCCATCTGAGCTTAAAGGTTTTTTTCTGGGATGATTTTAACTATGCATTTAATTTAAAAAAATAATTATAAGGCTATTTAAGTTATATATTTTTCTTAAATGAGCGTTAGTAGTTAGTGTCTTTCAAGGAATTTCTCCATTCCATATTTAGGCTTCTTGGCAGAAAGTTGTCCACATTATTCTTTTTTAAGCTATCACTTTTATTGTATGTAAATTATACCCCCAAAAGATGAAAGAATGAAATATTTTTTAAAAACTTTTAAACTCTCTTTTATGTCTCTAGGATCTGTAATGAAATTCCCTCTTTCATTTCTGATACTAGTAATTCGTGTAGTTTTTCTTGATTAGTTTGGCTAGAGGTTTCTCAATAGTTTTAATTATAAAAAAACAAGCGGTTGGTTTTAGTCTCTTTTTTTTGTTTTCCAGCTCAGCGATCTCTGCTCTTTCCTTCATTACCCTTTTTCTCTGGTTACTTTACTGTGCTCTTCTTTTTCTACTTATTTCAGAACTTTCTTCTCCTACGTAATCACCTAATGCTGCGAGCATTGCTTATTGGTTTCAGATAACAATGAGTAAATTGAATCCCTTAGTTGGAACTTGAATTCATAAAAAAAAGAATTCACATTGTATTTATATTCTCTCCCAACTGTTTATAGTGCTGTGCAATGGGAGTTACTGGAAGAGTTAGTTAAACGTGAAGACAGGAGCTGGGAGGAAAGACGGGTGGTGGACAGGTGGGTGGTGAATGGGTAGAAAGATGAATGGCAAGTAATGGCCAGGTGCATGAGCTGACGCTGGCTAACTAACTGATGGACAGATAAAATGAGATGCGAGAGGGGCCTCCCGTGTACCCGCGAGGACAATGTTGCATGAATGGGGCGCAGGCTTAACTCGGCTCTCTCCATCTGTGGTTAGAGAGGAAGTTAACCTCTTTTGTTATGCAGCTGCGGTAAGTTCCCCTCATTCTAGGACCCCGGCTGGGGGAGTGGCCCCCTAGGGGAAGAGAGGTTTCATGGAAGAGGGGACAAAGGCAGAGGTGGCTGTTGAGTGGCGCTCTCCCTTCCTCCCTCATTCTGTTAGCCAGTTAGCGGAAGGCCCAGGTCAGTCACCATGCCCAGCTGTAGGGTGGAGAGGTGAGGGCTGGAGCTTGATCCTCTTAGCGGAGGAGACGGAGCGTTAGCCCTTGCTCTTAGGCCCTGGCTGAGCGGTGCCATTTTATCCCACCTCCAGGTCCTGAAGCTACCTCACTTCTGGCTACAGTCTCTTGGGGAGCTGACCTGTGACTTTGGCCAGAATACTCAGTCATGGGCTTTCAAATGCTCCCCTTGACGCTCAGGTGTGTGATGGTCCCTGGAGTTTGCCTGAGTTCTCAGCAGTCACACAGCGTCAGATGCGAGGACCCTGTCCCCTTTTGCTTGCTCCCCAATGCGTTTGACCTGTGTCTACCCCTACTTCCCGCGGTGGGTCCCACTCTGAGATTACAGGCTCAGGACGAGCCCGTCTCCTGCCCAGCTGGGAGATGAGGTGAAGAGGGGACCAAACCCACAGTGAGCCCCGTCCCTGTAGGGGCCGCAGCTGCCGTTGGGTGCTCGACACCCACCCCTTCCCAAGGAGCCCGGCCGCCTCGATGAACCCGAGACGGGGGCAGCGAGTGTTTCCGTTGAGGGCCACATGGCATGTGGTTCAGGCTTTGCGGGACACGGCCTGTGTCCCACAGGCTCAGCGGAAAGCAGCCCCTCACAAAGCCTGCTGGGTTCCTTCGCCCTGGAGCCCAGGCCCTGAGGCTCCCTCTCCTCTGGGACAGGGCCCTGCTAGACTCTGGCTGCCTGGGGGCCCAGGCGAAGCTGGTCAACATGTGGGGTCTGCTGGCTGTGGGCGCTTGCAGCCAGGACCGCCACTGCCACCAGCAGGGGCCCCCAGGTCAGTGCTGAAGGCACAGAGCCACGAGGACCATTGTCCACCCCTGGGGGTGAGCTGACGCATTTCCTTACTATTTAGGGCACCTCGAGCTGGTTTCCGCTATTGTCCAGGCTGCTAGAGCAGGCCCTGACCGCAGCGGCGAGCGCCCAGTGGCCAGGCCCCAGCCTGACCCTGCCCAGCTGCGTTGTGCCACCAGCCCGTGTAGTGGGGGTGGCGCTGGACCACCTCACGGCAGGAAAGCCTGGTTTTAGCACCAGAGGCAGGATGGGGCTGGGGGCCTCCACTCTGGGACAAAAGCAGAAGGGATGAGAAAGCATGTCTAAGACCAGGGCCAGTGCAGCCCGGACACTGTCCTCAGGGACAGGCTTTGGTCTGTGTGCGTCTGGTGCCACTACCCGCTGGGAACCGTGTGTGGTCTCAGCACGAGGTGCTGCCTTTCCATGGGTCGGGGCCAACTTGGGGGCCTGGTGGTCAGGGCTGGCCTGCCAGGGGCCAGTAGCCAACCTTTACGTAGGTGCGATGGCTATTATGTGTTGACTCAGCTGGGCCGCAGTGTGCCCACCTGTTTGGCTAAACACTGGGCGGCTCTGTGAGGGCATTCCCAGATGACT